CCCCTAGCTCTGCAGGACAACAATCAAATAAAGGTATTCCACAACTTCTTATATGTTATTGCATTATATTTATATCAAATGAACAATTAACATGATAATGATCATTCTTATTGAACAGGGAAGATAAAAATGAGTCATATTGAAGATGATGATGATATGACATTCATAAATACAATTGGAGAAGAAGATTCCCTTGAAGACCCATTTAGTGATGGGATATGATTGGATTTTATATGTTCTTTATACTTTTGGAGTTTTGTTAAACTAATATTTTATGATTTTGTACTTTGGGACACGATTTTATTGCATCTATTTTCTTACTTTCCACTATTTTCATATATCATTTAGATGTTTTTACTGTATGATAGAATCTTGCAATTATTTACCTACAAAAATCCTTAAATTCTTATTTACGCAATTCTGCGTCCGTGAGGCTTACGCCTCACACCGCCTCGAGGCTTACGCCTCGCCTCACGGACGGAAAACGTCTCAAGGCTTATTTACGCAATTTTAAACCTTGATGGCTTCCATATCCCTTAAAGTGTGAGGGGAGGTGGTTGACAATATCTCAAATGATCAGCTTGAAAAACATCTTTAGTTTAAAGCTTATCCTTGCATATATGAACCAGGGTTGAGAATATGTTTGGAGAATTTGAAAAATTAATAATAATAAAGAGAACAGGCTTAATTACAAACCCCTAAACATCTATTAAAAAAGTAAAAGATTTACAAAATATAAAGTATATATATTTATACAAATAATACAATAAGGATATAATTTTTACATTGCTTAATGCACTAATTACCATTTCTTGGGTGGTGGGACACCAACACTGAATAAACAGTAAAAATACTTCTAGGAGGCAAAACTACCTTCAAGAGGAGATAAAATAGCCTTCAGCACAAGCTAAAGCCAGCACACGCTAGTTGTGCAGGCTCAAGCACCTTACTCAATTGCAGCCTAAGCTAGGTAGACCTAAAAAACCACATGAATAATCAATCCATTCTCCCAAGATGCGCTGGAAAAATTGCATAAGAATGATGACAAAGATGAAAGTAAAGTCATGAAAACTCAAACAAAAGACAGCAAAATTTGTTGGCTTCGGAGAGATTATTTAATCCATGTATACAACTGAACAATAAATAGGAATACATAATTTTTTTTCGCAGCTATTCATGTTTTAAGAGAATAATGAAGAACCAAATAGCAAAATAAGAACAGAATGTACCAAAGAACCTGGAGTAATTTTCCAAATTCACACTAATAGAATTTTTTTGGGGGACCTCAAACTTGCCTTAAGCATTATAACGATTGTCTACAACACCATAGCTTTAGAAAATTCAAACGCTTCACCAAAGAGCAATATTTCTCTTAATTTATTTTATTCCTATATTTTTTTCTTTTTTTTTTTCCTCCTCACTCTCTTATCTTCCTTCAAAAGCACCTCAATCATCCTGTTTCTTCCAATGGCAAGAGGAAAAATTCACATCAATGGGCCTTGTCTAAGTCCCCTATTCAAATAAGTTAAGAAAGTGAAAATTCATAATAAATAAGGTTCAAAGAAATTTGAATATAAACCATAATAGGAATTTAGTAGTAAATTCACAGAAACCTTAGAATCTATAATTCTCTATAAAAATCACCTCTTTTCCATTTATGCTTATCTTGTAAGGGAAAATTTACTCCATATGTTAACAATCTCCCACTCTGAAAGCAAATTTTTTATGTAATGACTTGAAGTTAAATCTATGCAGAATCACATCAATCGCCCATTGAAATTACTTGGGCTCACTTAATTAGTGGTGACAATAATTGTGTCAGCTGAGTTCTTGGGTCATTTTATTTTGCTTAATAATGGGGAATCATCTTCCAAGAGACCTCAAATAAAATGATATGTAAATTGCACATGCTTTGTCTAGGAATGAAATGCTACAATGTTTGCTGGATGTATGGCACTTTTGAAAAGGAGCATTGGCATCTTGCTCTTTCCCATCACTTTCCATAAATGCTTCAGCTAAATCATCTATTTACTAATCTCAATAGCTATAACATATTTTACTTTTATGTTTCACCTTGAAAAAAAAATTCTATAATTGCAATACCATATAGATATCAATGTCAACCAAAATATAAATGGATTATATTGTTCTTCTTCCAATATTGAAATTAATACACAAATCAACATCTATAAAGCATGGTAGTTTCATATCACCCTTTACCAAATACTAGAGATGTGTTGATAGTGCCTTTCAAGTATGGTTAAATCCACTTTACTGCCTCTCAATATACATTTTTTTTTAGTTTAACATGTACACTATAGCTCCCATTACATGACCATATATTAGGTCTAATGCACACCATAACATACATTACAAAACCACCTGACGAAGCACAAAGAACTTAAATCATATGTTTTATCTCCTCATTAATTTCAAATTATTGAGTTTAAAGTCACTAGTAGGAAGATTTTTTTTTTTTTTTGACACATTAAATATGTATTGCAAATTCTCAATATAATCAATTTAAGATGGCTTCAAATATTCAACCTATCAGAAAATTTACCACAAGCAATTCTCAACCAAAGAATACCTCTCCCAAATCTTTCATGTCAAACTCTTTTGATAATTGTCCTTCAATTTATCGATCTCATAAAACTTGCTTCTATAATCAACATGGCATCCACATAAATGCAAGTTGAAACAACTCTTACGAACATCTTTGATGGAGTAATAGGGATCTCCTTGCATATAGATGAACCGTCAATGTAGTCTTATTGACGGTTTTGATTTAACATCAACATCACCCACAATACAGAGACTCATCATTGACAAGATATAACCTATCCCATAATTTTCTACAGAATAATGAGATATGAGCTTTTAAATGAAATTACGTGAGAAGATGCCCATAAGTCCATAATATAAGATTCCACGGAACTATCAGCATTGAGAACTTAGTACATAATGAATCTCCCTAACAACATTCACTGACCCTTTTTTTATGGTTCAAACTTTGTTCACCTTTCTTTTGTAGGTAATCGCTTCTCATATTCTCAATATTATAATATCACTAGCATGTGCTGATATGACCTTATGAACAAATTTATCCTTTGATTGAAATGTTGACTTTTTCCTTAAATTTTGGATCTCCCTTATTATAACTTTTTTATAATTCTTCCCTACTATTAATAAAGTAACTTCTCATCTCCAAATGTCCTCACTTAAGATTTAATCTCAAAAATCACTAAATTTAAGTTTCATAGACCCATATGAGTGTTGACAACAAGCAAAGCTTTTCACCAGCTCTCTAAAAGTGATGTCAACAAATTCAAGGCATAAACTTCATCATCAAAGTTAACATCAATCAAACAAAAGTAATTTAAGATCAAAATAAAATTCAATAACATGCTACATAAACACCTATTATCCTTACATTAAATAATTCATATTATAAATACCTTGATTAATATCAATTACTTCTCGTGCAAGTTTGATAGTACTTTCATCACTCTATAAGTAGATTTCTCATATAGTGCATATCAATCAATATTGTTGATATGTGATAGTTGCAACCCACTGAATATCCGCCTATCCACGAGATCCCAATCTTCATGGTTTATAAATGTCAGTTCTATTTCCAAGAGAGGTAAATAAAGTATCATTTGGCATTTGGCATTTGGCATGGATAGCCCAAAAATATGAATCTTCAAGTATCTAAAATTTTTCCATTTAACTTGTTGATCTTTACTATTCCATCATCGGCTATTCCATCATTGGCAAGCATTACTTTCAAGTTTCCCTTAAAATATCATAGTTGGTTTGATGCCAATTGTTGGGGAAATAATTGTAAGATAAATAATGAGGATGAAAAGAAAAATGTAAAAACACAAAACAATAAGTACTCAAATTTATGTGATTCAGAGATATTCTCTCTTTTACACACATAGACGCATGGAGATATATTTCCACTATTAGAGGACAGTCAAATTTTCTCAAATCTTTATGTTTTGAAAGAGTAATATAGACAAAATAGAAAAATAAGAGACTTGATGGAGATTATACTAAAAATTCACAAGTAACACTCCCCATCGTATCAAAGAACTTTTTCCTGGCACCAACGAACTTACCTTTGCTGCTATTATACTCGCATCAATTTTAAAAGATTCATCATGACCAAAAATAAAAAATCTAGACAAAATTTCCTCTTTGTTCTTTTCTCTTTTTTATCCTTTTCTTCAAAAACACTCGGCCATCATTTTTCTTCTCATGGCAAGAAGGAAAATTCAATGAAATAAACTTCATTTAGGAACGCCACATAAAGAACTTAAAGAGGTGGAAATGCATAACGCATTCAATCAAACTTGACTAAGGGCAGACAGTTTCGTGAACCTTTATTGGCCCAAGAGAACTTTTTCAAAATGAAAGTGTCAGTCATGATCCTCTTTAATGGAGGTGAAAGACCTGCATGAAATAATTAGCAGTAGAAACAAACAAATGTGTCAACTCATTGATTAATCAGAAAATGTGAGGAAGAATTCTTTCCTAATTTCCAAGTGTGAATAGAATATGTCATAATGATGACAATAAGCTTTAGCGTGACCATAAGTTTCTTAAATTTCAGCTTTTTAAATGAGTTCTTTTGCAGAAGAATGAGGAAGTGGGAAATAACTTTCAACAAGTTGATAGAAGTGAAGGTGAAAAAAGGTTAAAACACACAATAACAAGAACAAAGACCATTTGCAATGGGATGTGCTAAAATTTAATAAAGGTAACATAGGTGGAAGAATTTGACAACACATCCAAAAGCATGTAAACGAAGCAAAACAACTTCCACTTAGCAGTACGATAAATTCAAAAAGCATGAAAGATGAGCCACAAAAGGTAACCAATTTGCAGGTTTTGTAGTCATGCAATGGTTAAAGCCCATCCAAAAGACTTCTCATGAAGTTCGGCACAAAAGCAGCTCAGAGCGGAAAAAAAAAAAAGGTAATAATGGTAACCTTCATAACTATGCAGTCATCCAACTCCCCAAACTTGCTCATGTATTGCCTCAGCCCTTCAGTTTCTACATCCCAGGGAATTCCAAGGATCTGGAAACAGATTTCGAATTAGAAATTACCAAAAAGCGGAGAATGAATAAAAGATAGTCTTTAGTGAGCCATGGGCTGGATACTAACCACAAGCTTGGTCGCCATGTTCGCCAAAAGGACCGAGACAGATGAAAAGAATCAGCAAAGGCGGGCACTCACTCCCACTCAATCTGACCAGAAAGAACCCTCTACTCCACAAATCCTTTCCTCGTGCTCCTCTCAAATCTCTCTCTAGTTAAAAACTCTTATATTAAAAAAACCCTTAATCGTTCTCCTCTCAAGCTCTCTGAACCCTCTCAAAAATCTCTCTTTCTCTCCTGCAGATTGGCACACAACAGACAGTGATCTTTCTTTCATACCTAATTCTTTTCTGGGAAATCTCCTCTTGGGTTCTCGACCAACGTCGGAGACGATAAGAGGATAGAAGAAAATAGATGAGGGCATTATTACTAGTGTTGGGGAAGAAGAGAACTCGCGCTCTTGGTAACACTCTTACCTCGCCCGAAGCTCGCGTGGCTCTCGCCCTCGCCTCTATATCTCTAACTCTTTCTCTCCGTCCGTGCTTCGGGTTGCCGGCGCCCAGCCTCGCGGCGGCTTATCTTCTCCACAAATCAGAGCTCTCCACCCATTTTCCTTCCATCTCTGGGATTATATACGGATGGATGAGGGATCTACAGCGCGACCTATGGGGCACGTGGTAAGACCCATTTATATAATTTTTTTAAGCACAGCAAATTTTTCTAATATAGGAGTAATTTATATGGAATTATGTATTAAATATTTGTATATGTTTTTTTTTTTTTTTTTTTTTGACATTTAGGTCATTTAAGACAAACTCACACACACAACATACACAAAGACTCGAATCCTAAATCTCTTAGTTGGAAGCCTGAGCTCTCAACCAATAGGCGAAGGAGACTTGTGTATGAAGTTAAGGCATGAGTAGTTTCATTAAAATAATATTTATTAATATGTTACCAAGCATGTGAATTTTTTTTTTATAAAATGAGTAAAACAATATAGTATTATTCAATATATATAAAACTTTAAAAATGGGAATCATGCTTTATTAAATATAAATTTTTTATTATTATTTTTAAAATTTTCTATCAAAAAATAATGTAATTTTAATTAACATTAATTAATAAAATTAAATTATTTTTTTAATCTATACTTTAATAAATATTAAATAATTTAAAATATGCAACCCTAATCTTTCTCCCCTAAATCATTGAAACCACCATGATAAAGAAGCTTTAAAATCATCATGATAGCTAGTTGGATAAATCATCCTCACAAATGTGTCAAATGTGTCAAGAAGAGTTTGTGATACTTGCAGCTTTAAAGTAAGTTAAACCTGAAGTTTAATAAATTTAATTTAAGGCAAAATGAAAAAATAAATAGGATTTTAATATCTATATAATTGATGGAAGAGTCTTTGATGTGAAATGAGTATATCTCTGAAAATGTTAGAGTTGATTTAGAGGCAGATAAGATTAGACAAAGTTGTCTTTAAATGACACATAAAATTTCGGCCTTCTGATGACTTAAAATTAAAAGAGTAAATGTATTAAATATGACCTATGTTCAGAAAAGTATAGATAGACCTAAGAAAAGTTAGTTAAAAAAAATATTATAAATGATATTTTTTATTATATTTAAATAAGAATTTTATTCTTAATAGAACACAATGGACAATAATGATTCATGCAATCAGACTCTTATAATGAAATAAAGGCTTGATGATGTTGTTGTAGCTGTAGTCCTTAATGGGCATAATTTTCGAAAAGAAAGATCTACCAAGCTATAAAAAAGAAAATTAATATATTGAAATTACAATTACACATGATAGGTAAAGAAACTATCTAAAGAAAATAAAAAATAAATCATTCATTCCCTAAGCTTTGCTAGGGTTTTTTCTCTTCTCTAGCTCAGCTGGTTTGTGCGCCGCCTCCCTCCCTTTTCCTCCGGCTTTGCCGGAGGCTTCTTCGACCATGGATTCTTCTACTTCCCTTCTAGATTTTCCTCCACTCCCTTCAGCTAGAGTTGTTCCCACATCTCCTCTACCTCAACGCAACTGGAATGTTGTCTTTTCTCCCAGTGTTCCCACTTCCGACGAGCTGCACCTCTCTCACTTCCCCCAGGAACCAGAAATTGTTCCTTTTTCTGGGGAAAAGTTGTCATCTGGAGCTGAAGACTGGAGTCGTTGTCTGGTTGGATATTCTATTGGTCGGAGGCCTTACTATGAGGCTTTGCTTGGAGCGATCAAAAGAACGTGGAAGCTTAAAGGTTCGCTTGAAATGTTCTTGCTAAGTGACGGTTTTTTCCTTTTTCATTTTTCTTGTTCGGAAGACTTTGATACTGTTTGGACCAAAGGCGTTTGGTTTCTTCTTGGTAAACCGTTTATCATGCAGAAGTGGCATCCTAAATTAAAGCCAAAAAGAGAAAATTTCACCTCTGTTCCAATTTGGGTGAAGATATTTGATCTCCCCCTTGCATGTTGGAACTCTGAAGGGATCTCCCGTATCGCAAGCAAAATTGGGGTTCCTCTAACTGCGGACTCCCTCACCACGAAGAAGACTAGGTTGACATATGCCAGAGTTTGTGTTCTGGTAGATTGTCATGCTTCTTACCCTGAAGAAGTTAAAGTTTCTCTAGATGGAGATATTGTTGCTCTAAAAGTATAGTATGAGTGGAGATCGTCTCCCTGTGATCACTATAAGTCTCTTGTTCACTTCTCCTCCTTCTTTCCTTCTAAGCCGCAGGAAGAGGGTGAAAAACCTAATGGATTTACCAATAATCTACCTCCTCGGGGAAGAAGCCATAGCAGGAAATCGAATAAGCGATCCGTCTCTAAACCTCCTGTTGGTAACCTAGCATCCACTTCATCGCCTGCTCTGGTTACTAACTCTAGAAGTGATCTTCCTGCCCAGAAAGTATTCAAGACCCTGTTCCTCATTCTTCTCCTGACCGCTCTGGTATTGGTAATATAAGCACTGATGTAGAAATGAATGATCTTGGTCATGTTCTCCATTATCAACCTCATTCCCCTTCTACTAAAAACCCAAACTCTGATCAATTTATCTCTTCTCTTAACGACCTTAAGAGTAGGATTTCGGAGGATCAGGAGGCTGATGCTGCTCTTACTTCGGGACAAGGTATACCCAATTTAAATTTGCCAACTGTGGCGAATTCTATTTCTTCTGGGGGTGTTTCCTGTTCTGCTGTGAATTCTCAAGGAATTATATCTCCAAACAGATTTGATTTATTAAAGGATAACGAGGAAGTGTCAAAACTAGAGGATAACATCTCTTCTTTGAATTCGGGTAAACCTGGTCCTAAGTACAAGTCTTTTATTAAACAACAAAATCAAGGGAATGCTAATGTGAATGGGGAAAAAATCGGCCAGGGGTAAGCAATCTAACAAGCCTCAATTGTAACAGCAGGTTTGCTCATATCATCCAGGCCGATCGTGGATCGTCCCGGGACGATTAGTTCAATTTTTGTTCCAGAATCTGTACAGAAGTTACAGGAAAATTTTCCTGTAGGGATCGTCCGAGCCGATAGGGGATCGTCCCAGGACAATCAGAGCAATGCAAAAGTCAGAGAATAGGGGTTTTTATCGTCCAAGAAAATTAATTATCGTCCTGCGAAATCGTCCCAGGACGATGTGAATTTGGTCAGATCGTCCAGGACGATCGTGCGATCGGCCAGGCCAATCAGAGCATTATTTAGCTGAAATCAGCTCATTTTGAAGAGAGAGAAAAATCAAAAATAAATATCTGATTTTCTGAGGAGAGAGAAGGTCGAGAAGAAAAGAGGAAAAGTGGATTTTTGGACAACGCCGGGCCGTTTTCGTCCGTCGTGACTGTTCAAGAAAGTGGTGTACGCAAGGTAAGGCACATTTCGCCTTTCTCAATTTTCAGAATGGTGAAGTTTGACGGGATTTTCTGTCCGGATTTCGTTTTCGTTAGCGAATTTTGTCCGTATTTTCCGACTGGTTCAGTTTTTACCGCGTAACTTTTG